CGCAGTCTGTGGATTTTCATGGTTGTAATCCTCTGGTTCGTATTGCTTCTTTCTAGTTCGTCCTAAAACTCCTCCGATATAACCGAGAAGTTTAACGAAGAGTTTAATGAAAATCCTTGTGGATAATCCCCCAAACTTTGCCCTTAATGGTGAATATGTTGTCAGCCTTCTGAAAGCTCAAGTATTTTTAACCTCTCGTAACCATTCTCACTTTAAGGAAGTTGACTAGGGTAGTAGGAGGAGGAGGAGAGTTTTCAGCAACCTTGTGATTAGTTTCTTTCATGAAAATCGACCTGTGGTATAGGAAGGCGTCTCGCCTACCAACATGACCACTACGACACCAAAACCACATTTATCACAACAATGGAATAACAATGGGATCTTTATAGTTACTAACCCTCCGTGTATATTCCCTATTATAAAAAAATTTCCTTGCACGTCCCGATAATCATACGACTTCACATAAGTGTCGCCAGCGTTTAGAGAGTTTGATTGCCTATAAGATTCTGCTCTCAGGCACAATCGCGTCTGTACACTCAAACACGTAGACAGCTTGTGAAATGCGTCTAAACGGCGATTAATCGGCCCCCAGTGGTGAAATTGTAAATAGCCAGTAGGTAAGACCTCATGAAGACAGGCATTTTATTCGCAGATCCACAGTTACTTCTACGATATTAAGCTATGCCGTCGCACAAGGTAGGTGTGCTTAAAAGTTCTCAAGCTGATGTCACGATGGTGACGATTGTTGCCAGTGTCTATATCAGCGAATGTCAAGAAAGCAGACCACGAAATATCAGGTAAACGAATCGAATCGTTCAGTCGTGGGAAACAAAGGAAAGGCTCGTGAAATTAGCCGCTACTGTGTAAAGAGATGAAAAGTGTTTACGACTATGAGTTAGTGTGACAAGCCAATTTTGTTACGATATAACCTAAATTAAAGTGGTTCAACTGGTCGAAGAAGGAAAAAATATATTCACTTTTAGAAAACGATTTACCGAATGCAGCTAGGTTGTTCCTGGGTTGGTTTAGAATGCGAGTAGTTTGTTGGATTGCTCATTGGTTTAGGTCAGTTCTTCTGGGTATGCCTCATTATTTAAAACAGGCACTCGTCAGCTAGTCTTCTCTACTCAACATGCAACGTGCGACTTGTACGGCAACAGCTGTTAGTTCAGCAAAATGACCAGCTGGTTGTTTTTCCCTAGGATACCTGATCGCGCACAAACCTATCTAACCGGGCAGATACTACCCAATTCCTCATTCATAAAATGGAGATTGACGACACACAAAAAGCGGAAGCATCTTTACACTAGACATCTTAGAGCATAAACTCTACCTTTTGCAATCAAACTATGCCGGCCTCTAGCAATATCTGTCTTCATTATCACGCTAAACGGATGGCTTCATATAAGATAGGTGAACGCGAAAAAGTGAGCAAAATAAATTATCAGCCTGCTCACAGTGCCTTGCAACTGCATTAATTTCGGAACAGTATGGACGCCCAGTTTCATCTGAGAAAAGGAAGACCAAAAAATGTCGGTATGTTCTTGAGTGTATTTTTCATGCTTAGAAAATTTCTGCGCCGTCCCAGTGTAAAAAACGCGTTTTCTAAAGATACGGGTGGAGGTTCCTACTTCGTCTGGCATATCCCTTGTAAAGCTACCTCCCATTCGACCACACCTAACTAGAGTAAAACCATAGGAGTTGACCGGGAAACCAATCAAAAGACAGGCTTAACGTGGAATATATGGCACCAATGGGAGGATTGCATTTTTAGTCTACTTCGGATGGGCTTACTAAAAATTGTCTACAAGTAGGGTGAGTTCAAATTTTTCCAAACTATAAGAATGTCCTCTGATGTTACAGACTAAAAATGAGAAAAAAATAAAAAAAAACATATGTTAATTTAAGTAGGACCATTCCTGTTTCGTTATCGTTGGTTACGTGAAGAGAGGGCCATCGTTGAATTGCCCTGGTGATCGAGAGTGCCTTATCCCACTTTTTCTTGCAGTGTCGGCGCTTTCCTCTTTGATCGCTTACATCGTGCTCATCTCGCTATTTGTTATTGGGCTGTTGGTTGCCGAAAATGCAGGATTTCATATATTCCCGTTCTCCGGTCCGTCAACGGTGGAATTAAAGGGGTGGGTTTTGTACACGTCTAACCTTATGCGTTGTTATTCGTTTTGAACAAAACCTCTAAAATCACTATGTACTGTGGTGTTGGCGTATGCATCGACGCACAAAAACCAGCTGCTTGTCTTGTTTTTTTATTGAACTGTTTGTAAGATTGGGGTCAGTAGCTGGACGTGACATAGATTTTCGTTGATGAGGTTCAACATTTGCTTCAAATCTCAGTGGTCGAAGCCATAGTCGAACAGTCTTCGATGGATGACAACACTTTCTCAGGTTCCTAGGTGACGCCAATCAGAAGGCCAGATGTGATAACTTAATCTCAGTTTTATCCATCATCAAGTTTCCAAAGCCTCGCTACCCCCTTACTGATAGCCAAGTCTTCCTATTTACGTGAGATGGCAAAAAGTTTAAGAAAGATACGCTTCAAGCACGACTGCGCTTATTGGTCATGTGGTCTTTGGAATGTAGTGTCAGTATGACTGGTTCTCCTGCAATTGTTAACAGACTGCCAAGAAGAATTTGTCTCAAAGTTAGGAGCACTTTTTATAGCCACTTTTCTTTTCTAAGCTATGAACCGTTGAGCTATCCACATCATGGTATAATGCACTGGAAAAGTTAGTAAGCTGTGAATAGGCTGCGATGAGCTCGAAAGAAGTGTCTAGTTTCATATTATCATTTATTTTTGAAGAGCATGGTCACAGACATAGAAAGTGAATGCAAGCGACGAGTGCGAAAGGATAACAGGAGAATATTAGAGAAAAGAGAGAAACGTTTCATTCGAATTCACGCCAACAACAGTTCCAGTCAGATGAGATAAATCCCAAAGTATGTAAAAGTTTTGATAAGAAAACACGCGTCCAAAGACCAACAACCGAAGAAAGGACAAACAATGTTGAATGCACTTCAAGGCGCGGTAGGCGCTGGCACGGTCAAGAGTCGAACATCAAGCACAAAGTGTGCGTCATGCACTACAAAGTGTACTTCATGTTGGCGCAAAACCGTATTTGGGCGCTCAGTGTCATGCGAGAATAACGCAGTTTAGGAACACACTATCCGAAAGCTGCGATAATATGTTTCGTAGTTTTTTCTATACATATTTCGAAGCCTCCATGTGGTTTCTCTTGACGATCTGCTTGCTAAATTACAGCGAGTTTTGTTTTCACCCATAACATACACGCGACCGCGATTTGTTTGTTCGTACGGACTGTACTATATTTAATTATAACAGTAACATATCCAATAAAACAATGACCATCAGGTTGTAGAACACAAATAAAGGGCTGCGAAACAAAGTCAGTTCAGCCAGCCCCAACGTGGTACGTACACTACGAGTACTGGAGTGAGATTCAATCATCCGACCCGAGGTTGTCAGCCGTGATTATATACCCTTTCATTGTTGGGAGGAGATATTGACGAGAGGACGTGAATGACAAACCCCTATCCTAGAAGTTCATCATCAGCTCCGAAAAATTTCTCGTTGTCCCTCAGACTAACAGAGTACTTGTGAGGAAAGGAAAATTCCCCCGCACCCCGGATTCCTGTCGAGGATTCCTTTCTGAGGAATCTGCTACCCAACGGTTCTGGTGGCTGCTGTTAATCTAGCTCAGTACCTGAGGGCTTAATTTACAGTAATTTGAGAAGGATGAACAAAAAACGCGGATAAGATGCCTCAGGCTTTCTCAAAGCTCATTCTTGGCTTTAGAACTCTGTTTGATGATGTACAGAAGCTCAAGCAGGTGGAACTTTCCAGCTATTTGACCGTTCGCGCCGATTAGGGGTATTTTCATGAAGAGACCATCCTTATAAGAACTCGTTTGCTTTCTTCCTTTTTCGGTATACAGGAAAAGGGAAAAAAGTGCACGTTTTTCTGTCAGTCATTAGAACGACCAAATACCCATGTTTGGTCGAAATTGGCTTCTGACTCAAAATTTTCACTGTATTCTTAGCCGGTCTTCATTTTGAAGCATTTCTTAAGTAATAGAATTGTTTTGTGTACACAACTCTTCAGTTTCCGAAACACATAAGCTGATTTGTCCCAGTTCTATTTTCTGTCCAAAGAGATAAATTTCACTACATTTTGTCATCGAGAAAAGGAACTCACATTACCAATAGTGCGACGCATATAACTCGACAAACAGCAAGTGATTCACCTGCAGTGCAAGCGAATACAAGCAAATGAAATTAAACCACACAATAGCCATTTATTCTTGGTTGATTACCAAATCCCGAGCCTAACATTTTATTTTCTGATGTGTCTAGTTTCCTTCTTTCGACAATGCATTAATCCATTTGAACAATACAGCCAAACATCACGAAACATTAATAAAATCCCTATTCAATACACAGAGTCAAAAATGCAAGCACCTTTGAACTGTCAGCGGGTCAGACAAGTTATGATCATCCAACAGCCGCTGAAGCCATAGCCCAGAATGAGACAGAGCAGTTTGCAGCAATGTCTGGTGCCAAAGAGCCTGGTGCTACCAGACCCACTTCCATCGGGATCGACAACCTCTCATCTTATTTGCAAGAATGCCTTCAACCCCACAACTCTTTTCTAGTAGATCAGTTCAATGTGAGTTTGAGTCAGACTGTTATCATTTGCACTTTGTACGCATCTGACTCAGGTGCCAGAACAACCTAACCGTGTGCGTCACATAAACTTATTGGATAGGGTTTGAGGAATGTACAGTACGATACGTGAGATATCGCAGTAAACTATCTAAACTGCACTTACCTGCTGAGCCTCAAAAAAGGCGGAACCGGACGTGGACCGTCGAAGAGTTTTAAGCAACCTTATGAGCAGTGTGTTATGTCTACACACCGCTCAGTTGATTGTTTCACGTGAAAAAGTTACATCTCACTTATTCATTACCAGTAAGAAAAGTATTAAAGTAATACTGCTTTGATTTAGTCCCCTCAAAAAGAAACTACCTAACTCATGGTTATGTAAATGCGATGCAGCACACCAGCATTGGACTTCGATCGGCATATTTATCCCGCCTCAATATTCAGAATAAATGTACAGTTTGGGTTTTTTTGTAGATAGGTCTGATATATTCACAAATCTCATATTTAAGTGGATAGTTGTGGAGTAGGTCTTGTTCTAGGCTGAAGCAGGAGCTAAATACTTGGTCGGTTGCTGTGACGATAAAAAGGAGCTATCCATCCAAAAGCTGTTTACGCAGACGGTCCTCGATATAAATAGTCACGTGATTTCACAGATAAAATTGATTAAAATAGAACTGGCCGACTAACATTCACACGTTATCTTGACACGAACGTGAAATATGGTTCAACTTATTCTTTTGGGATCTCTATACCTAAACAGTCTCACGATATGATTTATGCTTCTTTTGAATTCGCAAACAAACTGGTAGTGAGGTAACATCTGCCTGCAGTGCGTCGGCTACAATGATGCTTCCGATGCTTTGGAAAGTGCCTTTGGCACCATACCTACTTTTCTCGCGTCATGTTAAGATGATATATAATATATATATATCACTTAATTGAGGTTTGCATATTGTGTCTAGCATAGAAAAAAGTATTGGTCCACTCATTTTGATTTCGTTTTGTTACCCATACACCTTTATGCATATCTGCAATAAATTTGAAACCGCACTGGATGCCGTGGAAACAAAAATGCGATTGTTTGGGTCGGAGGTTCTCATCTGGGATAGGATTTAAAATGACCGGTTTCCCACAATCACTCAGATATTTTTGAGATAAACCACTGTTGCGTTTGTACATGTTTATTCCTCAAAAAGGTAGCACGCTGTTGCTACTTAAGACCAGCCTTGAAACCAGTTTTTTCGTTGGAACAAAAGCATCAGAGAAGACAGATTAATCTTTGGCACGCGGAATTATAGTTATGTTTTAGGCATAATCATAGGAACTCTCCTTTTTTCTATGGTCATTTCCATTATTTATCCTTTTCTTCTTGAAGGCGCTACGAAGAACTGATGTTGACACTGGGGCGCAACATGCACTGAGCACATCGATCGCCATGCAGCCAGGGAACAGCGAACTCAATCGCTCGATGGACGCCTTACCATGTAAGCACGAGTTTACTGCCATAGAGTCACATGTATCCAGGTAATTTATGGAGAATGATTAATAACAGTCAATGGTAGCGTTCATATCTTGATCACGCGGATAAAATCCAGACACACTATTGCTCCAATAAATAAGCGATACTACTGATAACATACTAAGCTATTGGTACAAAATCTTTACCGAGACCAGGTTGTTGAAGTTCTGAGGCAAGCCAGATCAGTAATGAGTGTGATTAACTCGTTTTTTGTGTGTGTGCCTATTTTGAGTGGCTAAGTCAATATGCCAAAGACGTTAGGGCGAGTTTCACCGACAGGACTGTAGTTCATCCACTTCACTTGATGATGTTCGCATTAACTGAATTCACTGAAATTACCATGCACGCGGTCCCGTTTCCGAAAACTTCTTAGCTTTCCACCGTCAGCACATAGCGATGAAAAGTTGGTTTTAAGGCACTCTGATACATCAACAGATAAGCACTGGGTTCCAAACTGAAAACACTTCTGTTTAATTGATTGACGGGCCTGTGTCCTTGAGTTCTTACAATGACTTTATCTCAAATTCTTCATCTGGGGGATCTGAAAACCATTTTTGCCACAGCGTGTGTAATTGTCACATCCTTCAGTAGAATGAGAAACACGATGGACACCTTGGTTTTTCGTTCATCCGGAGATGTAAACTAACTCGACAAACGCTAACTCAACCTTGTTTCATATTCTTCTAGACGACCAAAACCTCGTTCTCGTACAAGGGAATGCCGGTTCTCTGGAGGTGAGTTTGTTCACTTTTCGGGAGTATTTTGGGGAAGAGATTGCAATCACAACATACTGAAGCCAAATAAACTTGTCCACATAGTTGATGCAATTTTCAGATGGGTGTTTCCGTGACCATCGATTTCAGGGGCGATTCCTGAGACGAATGACTTTCCGATCCGGCCAAAGTCCCTAGAACTGTTTTTCTAAGGTATACCAAACATGAGCATTGCAGATAATAAGGGAATAATTAGGCTTGGAAACGAAATTTCAGCTCGCATCAAAGTCACTCAGCAGTGAAAAGCCACGCAACTTCTTACACTGACCGTTCATGTTAAAAATGAACATAATGTGTACGGAGGTTATGTGAATAGGGGGAGACTGGAACGCAACACCTCTCTATGGGCATTAGACAATGGTCGGTTCAGTTATGAGTCGATCTTCAGCAGGGTCAACCTTGCACATCCCTTGAACACTGTTTGCATTCCTTGATCGTTGAGTGTATCCTGAATGCACCTGAGTGACAGCCGCATAGAGAAATATCCACGTAAACTGTCGAGCGTTTTTTTCGTTTCTGAGCAGACTAATCTTACAAAGGGTAGGAATCCTCACTATGAACTTGAAAGTTAGATAGTAGATTCAACATCATTTCGAAAGAAGATGGTGCAACGTATGCTGCTTGTAAGTAGTAAAAAGACCCGTGGTAAGATAAACCGACCTGTAACGAAAAAGTGTCCGAACAATAGGCTTGCTGCATGCGCTTAATTCGAATAAGGAATAATAATAATTTATAATTATTAATTATTAATTATTAATTAATTAAGTATTATTAATTATTTTGAATAATTTATTCACTTGTGGAGACAACAAGGAAAGCTTTCTCACCAAATGCTGTTCACTTTAACCTGTTTAAATTTCTCGAGCGTTACACGTTCTCAGTTAAGAAGGAACTAACAAACAGGACACTGTAATGCGCTGTAATGCACTGTAATTTGTTTAAGATACTGTTCAAAATCGACAATTTAAGTTTTCATTCTTTCCACATATTTTTATTCATGCGACTTTAAGAAATGCGAGGTTTACTGGTTCGTATTGCGTGATATTACGTCGATTATTTAAGTGTGGTCAGGCAGTCGACTTCTGTCTCCCAGCTGGCTGACCACTGTTGACAATGTGCCGCTGGTTACCATAACAAAAAACAGGCAATACAGCTGGGCCGATTGTCGTTTCGAAAAAGTCACTATTCACCCAAATTGTGAGTTCCGACAATCCCCCTCCAAGAGTGATTCAAACAACATTCATGATACACTGGAACTTTCGGGATTGCACCTCTCTGTCAAAGGGTTTGTGATTTCGCTACTGAATACATGAGGATGACTACAACATGCACTGTCCATAGTTAAACCATAAACCTACTAGAAAAGCCAGACTGGTAAGCCAAATTTAATTAAGAACAAGCGTAAGGCGTCCATATCCGTCACATGTTACGTCATAACATGATACGGTAATGATTTGAACAATATCCTCCAAAAAGAACCTAACTAACAACAGCGAAGGTGGAATTAACGTCAGCTAACGCTTGCTCAGAGATTCCGGGAAGACCTACGCATTACATGCAGACAACTGAGCTCCTCATGCTAGATGAAGGATAACTTGAGTAAGAAGTATTAGGCTGTGATGACCCATTGAGCTGGGTTTGTTGTAGTGTAACGAGTTAAATTCGTCAACGTCATTATGCTGTTGACAAAACACTAAGCGAGGCGAAATGTGTTTACCATCGAAGAATGGTCCACGGAGCCACAGGTTCCAATCAGTTTAGGAAACCCTTTTTGAATCGAAATCCAATGCATACAAACCCATCTACGTAGCTTTACAAGACGCTGTTTTAGAGCAGATCAGCATGACGAGATCTCTATATATATGTGCGTATGTATAACGTATAGCATGAAACATGAAACCTTTATGTTTCATCTTCAGGAAGGACGATATATCAATGCCAGTTACATCTTTGACATTGCGCCTCCGAGTGAACCATCCGAGCCGCCTGCAGTTGATCTGAATTGCACACCATACATTGCAACACAAGCCCCTACTCCAGGAACTGCAGGAGACTTCTGGCAAATGGTATTCGAGCAAAAAGCGAATTCCGTCATACAGCTTGCACCGTATGTGTATTTTAGCCCCAATTTACTCGCCCATTATTTTTCGTCCTTGTCTTCTTAAAGGTATTTATTAGTACTTCACTGACGCAGTGGATTTCTGAGGCAACTCTTTTGTTTCTGATTGTATCATTTTATATAGTATTGCTCTAACAGCGGAGCATTTACTGATTTGAAACACAGCCGAATCATTTGCAGAGTAGAACATAGGGGACAGGCTAGCATGGAAGTTGCCAATGATCTGGTCACCCACCCTAGGTATATTTAGACTGGGACTAGTGGAAGTGGTCCCTTCTGGTGGTCACTTTTGACGTGGTATGTAATGGCATTAGGTTTCCGCTTCCGCTGGATGCAACTAGTTCGGCCGAATTTTCAGCACTAGGTATAAACAAAGCTCAGCGCCATCTTTGTCTTGAGCCATAGGAAAAATTTTATAAACTACACTATTAAATTTTATCGTTCTGAAAGTGCCACTGTACACGCCAAAATGTGCGCACTATACGCACAGAAATGCACATAATGCAACCTTACTTTTTCCAAATATCTCATTCTCTGTTCAAGAGTTGGAACGCAGCATTTCCAGTATTGATTTCATCATGAAAGTAATAAGCAAAACTATTGTGGATGCACTGTACTGTTGCTCGGGTCACATTTATTTGGTGCTCTCGTCCTCAAGAACATTGGAAAGTTCATGCCCGATTGCCAAAGTCTCAGAGAGAATGAATTTCATGACATAACTTATTGGTTTGTGTGTGGACTTGTCGGTATTTTGTTAAGCCAACCAAGTAAATATAAAACTGAATGCGTGGGCCTTGCTAACAAATTCACCAGCTCTGTTTTTAAAGAAAGCTCACTTAGAATGAGGTGACTCAATATGAATCTGACTCGGTACAAATTCGTCTGGTGGAACATACTGCTGATAAGTCTACTGAAAGGCATTCGACAATCTGCAACTGTCCTTGTCCTATTTAAGTCCACCTGTCAGGCGCAGCTCCGTAGCTTCCATCGAACTTTTGTTCCACTGGAAACCTAATTGTACATAACCCGTGGACTACACCCGCTTCGGAACGTCAATCATCGCATCCACTAAAATAATATTGTAAACGAAAGTTTCAGTTGGGACTCATTTGAATCTATCTTTAAAATCTAGTTAATTTGAAATGAATGAGTTTCTCAAGTTCTTCAACGGCGTCAAAAGTTTGATTGTTGTTCGCGTAAGCCAGATGAAATTTCTTAATTCAGATATATTTCATGTTGGAAACAAGCATAAATTTACGATTAATACGGCATTTGATTACAATATATAAAACCGATCCCACTCTGGCCAAGAATACTTTCATTCTTGAGCAATGAAGCAAGCGATTTGAGATATCTAGTGCTCCGAATGGCCTTCTCAACGTGTCTGCAGCTTCATCCCTACTTCAGTACCCTTTTTATGCATCGTTTTCTGAGATCTCATTCAAATCTAATGTTTCATCAATTCAAACGATGTTTTAGTCTAAACTTCATATTGATCATTGATAAAACCCCGCAACATCATCCACAGAACTTATGGTCAGGTAAAACGGAAGCTTAAAATGGGCACGAAGTTGACTGGGATTGGCTTTATAAATCCGGAATGATCCAAAAGCGGCAAAAGAGCGTGAATTTATGGAAGCGGGCTACTCCACCGATGATGGCATCAACATATATGTTGAAATCGACCCAATCTACTAATTGTTAAAGTTAAAAGAACCACACAAATCTGCTTAAGCAAGGGATATTTAGCAGAATTAGCGAATCCGACGGATTCGGATCTGGTAAACAAACCGAATCATGAAAGAGAGAACTCAGAATGGAGAACGATGATACAAAGAAAGTGAGTCTAGCAAACACATGCCTGACAAAAGATCCAACCGAACGGTGTGGCACAACGGTTTATTGAAATTCAATATCAGGCATCAACAGCAGTTAAAAATAGGACAATAAGAAATAAAACTGCCAAAAATAGAAATTGACAAAACAAGCAGCCATACTCAGGGAGGAATGATCACACCAACTTATGGGGAATGTTGACTGAGAAATATCTGGGCATAATCAGATGGGGCGGAGTTGGTCCTTCATTCGGGCACTGATGATGCCTTCTTGACTGAGGATACAGATCTAGTCAGCCAATTGCCATACCAGGGGAAACGAAAGTGAAGTTTCCAGATCCATCTCGGAATGCCGGTTTAACCTAACCTAATATGCCGTTTTTATGCCATACTGTTCAAAGATATAACCACTTTGGACTTGATCGCTCAACCTTGTATATGAACATTTTTTAACTACAATTCTCCATCTTCCTTAAACTCATTTGTGAAGGTCAATTCTCAACGTTGTATGGCATTTTTAAGCAATGTGGATTACTGTTGTAATGATGAAGTGATGTAGAAATCATAATGAGTACACACCACAGCTAATTAAACGTTTTAGTTTGGGGAAGGATCTCATGCTGGATACTTTTCGATTAACCATCGAGGTGCGCTCCAAATCACTTGGTTAGAAGCAAGTTTGGTGTTTAGATCTTGATTGTTCAACTAGACTTATCATGTTTTGAACTGTGCGTTAGCTGACGGCTTCCGCTGTTCAAGAAGTACACTCCATCACCAAAACAAATGATATGCTGCGGAAACTTTTTGTATATCGTGTGGTATATGATCTTTCTATGGAGGTAAAATAGCTCTCCGGTGAACGGAATTAGTTATCCGGGAGATATATTCTGCAGAGAACTGCTTTTTATGAAGAGTGCGTTTAGTCATCACCCAGTAGAATAACACTTTTCCTAAAGTGATTTGCTTCAAATCCAGAGTGGGAATGGATTCCATACGCTGGTGAAGGATACATACATCTGTCTATTTCTGAACGGCATTAAAATCACTGGTTGTTTATTTTTTTGTGAGATATGTCGCTGTGGCAATGTGGTTGATTTCTCCCTTGTTTTTTCAGATCGCTTGGGGAATTTATACCCAATTTTGACGCCTACTGGCCGACTTCCTTTGATGATGTGAAAATTTACACCTCTGGTACTGTGGAGCTTCAATTAAACTTGGTTTCCGAATCCGCTCATTCGGGTTACATGAGGCGAAAACTCACTGTTACGTCGGTAAGCGTCAGTCCTCGCGGAATACTAGAACTTATTGGTAACTCGTCACTAATTCGATTAATCAAACTGCATGGACGAAGCTTTATTTCGCCAACGTTCACCCTAAACTTACTCAGAGGTGGAGTACCTAGAGAAGATTATCGTCAGTGGCCATAGATTGCAATCAATCTGGGGAATATAGGACATACCGATTGCCCATAGAGGACATGGGCGCTGCCTCTTGGTAATGCGCCGATAACAATCACCAGATCAAGAACACTTGGCTTGGGCTTCCATTTGACCATATTTTATCAGATAAACTTGAGGTAATCCATATCTCTGTTGGACACCGAGTTGTAACGTCCGAATTTCGCCTTCCTAGAGAGATGACCAACGGAAAACGAGTGTGGAAACGAAAAAGGCTTTTTGAACTACCGGAAGCTCTTTTGAACCTTTTGTCTACAGGACGTCTACACATGTAACTTTTAAATTATGTCCTGAGACGGATCAAAAACCTTATTTTGGGATTACAAAGTTTCTGGTTTCTCTCTATTTGAAAAATTACCTCGTTATGAAAAACTGTTAGATAAGTCAGTCAAAAGACCAAATACTAGGCTCAAACCTGCCGCAATTTTCAATCGGGATCCTTGGGCTACACCGTTGTCATTGGGAACGCCTTATCAAATTTCGGTCAACACCATGTATTGTGATCGAATTTCCTGCTTCAATTTCCGCTTCAATGAAACTCCTTCACCTTGTATTCAGTCTGTCGATCCAGACAATCCGCACGAGGTGACCCAATTCCAGTTGCTCAATTGGCCAGAGCAAGGAGTTCCTGATTCACAAGAGTTCCGATTCATGCTCACCGCATACCGCGTGTTCAAGTTCACAGAGAGCCCACTCAATTCGCCCACTGTGGTCCATTGCAGGTGAGCCTTCCAAAGCGTTTGTGTGCTAAAATCAGTTTATTTTATTCAGTCTCTTAAACCGCTTTCTCTGAGATGGTTTTCAATACAGAGCCCACATCGACCCGGCTGCTGCTTCAAAATGCTTTCAGAAGTAAATTACAGCCCAGCAGTTGCACGGGAAAACTGCTACAGCAGATCATACACAGATGGTTAGTAGCGATGGGATTGTAACCCCCAAAAGCACAAGAGCTATGCACCGAAGCGCTAGCAGCTAATGTGACTGAACAGCGATCATGATGAACAGAACACGAATTTAGTAAATGTAGCCCGAGAGAAAACGGAACGACGTTGGCTAAAGTCATAAATTATGCAATGCTGATAAGGAGTCCAGTCATCCTTTTGCGCACACAGGTTTCGTAACGAACAGCAATTAATATACTTCTGGGTGTTATAAAGTAGAACCATGTATGATCTTCATCGGTCTTAAATCCAAGATTCGGGCATCGCATGTACGAACGCTAATTTCAAATGATGGAGTCAAAAGCCATATTAGCTTGCAGTTGTCGTGAGAGATGATTCGCGTCTTAAATTGAGTGTGCTGAATAACGTGGTGATCGTTATTCAGGGAAATAAACAAGCTGTTAACGATAACTTAATAGATCTCGTGATAACGAAAACCACCACTCAGGGGAGAGCCCTGTGGGGAAAAGCCATGAGGGGGTTTTGGAGAAAGCATAAAGCAGCCCTTCAAAGTTAGGCTGCTCCTAGGAGCCTCAACGTCCCTTACCCTATGATGCCCTCTCTCAGAAGGGATAACTGAAGCGTTGCTGACAATATTACTATCATCATTATTCTTTTTGTTGCTATGTTGGCAACAACCTTGTGAATGTTTTTCGGCCAAAGTTAGCAAACGTATTCAATTACATTTCAGCAATGGAGTCGGGCGCACGGGAACATTCATTGCCGCCGACATAATCAAGAATCATTTAGAAGAAGGTGCCGAATTCATTGATATTGCTGGTATCGTCGAACAACTGCGAGAGTGCCGAATGAACATGGTTCAAAAGAATGTGAGTTTTTCGAAGCCGTTAGCATCACCGTATAAGTGAACTAAAGACTGATTATCAGGTGTCCCTTGTGACGCCACTCCAAAGTAGGGAGATGTCCATGTCAATTGTCCCGTCCTTAGATTTGATTCCTACATGGTACATTTAACATATCAGTAGTAAACACATCAACTGGAATGCTGGTTTCTCCAGATTCGTTTTCTCTAAAGGGGCTGATGAATAGCGGTCAGATAATAAAGGGAAAGCTCTTGCAACTCTGTGAATGGAAGTCATCCTCCACGACAGTTATTCCATCTCCTCTACCAGATTAGCATATGGAAAATTGTTTTCTCTCAATAGCTTAGCTTCCAACTAGGTAGCAGTGCTGCAATTTCCGAAAATAACCGCACTCCAGTGGTTGACGGCTGACTAATTATGCAATAGCTTCACAGCTCCAGACAGGTTCACTTTTTTCGGTTATATTAGGAGTCAGATATCTACGCCAGACTTGAAGAGCCTCCCAGCTCAGTAAATCTCCTAATATGGAATGCCATACTTAGGAAACCGAAATAACTGAGTGAGAATCTGATTAACTGTTCAACAGTTTACCTGAATGACCAGAGCATACCCTCTGACCTCACGTAGCTGATGAAATCTACGGTTCCAAATTATCGCCAAAATTTTCCCGTTTGTTTTCCATTCTCTTTTCTGGATACCTGCCAATTATTACTACTACAATTATTGCCTATTACTTGCTGATACCCTTTAAAAGAAAGCGGTTATGCAGAAGAACCCAATCTGCATGACAGTTGTAATTAACGTGTCGAAATGTTGGTAGCTCGGGTGTGTTTACTGGTGGTTGATCTGTTCGCCGAGCTTGGCAATTGGTTTGCAAACGTTTCGTCCCCCGTTGAGGAGACATCATTAGTATGCGGTTGAGTGGGTGCCTCCTCCGTGCCAAGCTGCGTTGATATAGATTTTGAGGAGCATCCAATACATGTTCGCCGACATTCAAGGAGGGAGTGTAACTGATATCATGTTGAGGCTTGACGGCAAGCGATAAGCTGTTTTAAGCGTGAAGCGTCAGTGTGTGTTGTCCATGTGTGGAAACACTGTTGTTATGTATACCCCCCTGTGACTTTTAAAACCAAAATCTTACTGGAATAAACATGCTGCGACAAAAGATATACACGTCGCAAATAAAGGACCCAACCTCCTACGCTTCTTTCAAAAAAATTCGCAACCGGCTTGCAGCTGACATTGTTTTGAATTAGAAAATTCTAATATGCAGTGTCATCAGAATTCCACTGTCATTAGTCGACCGGAGAGAGACCAAAGTAGTAAAAATTTAACGGTAAACGTTTCAAAGTTCACCCGGTTACCCTTAAATGACTCTGAAGGATGGAGCAAAAATCCGCTTGTGAGCCAGGCAGCTGGTCCATTCGGAAAACCCGTACAGCCCATTATTATCAAACGCAAGTCAAACGTTTCAGCAGCCTTGATCAGAAGGCTTATGGTAATATGGTAATCAACCTACAGGGTCTTTCATTTTGTGTGATGTTTGCAGAAATTTGTTGGGATGTAGAAAGCCTTTCTCGAAAGACTTTGAGTAGACAGTAGATATTCGTCAAAGATATGTGCTGTTGCTGAATCACAGTCTTGATAATATACACTAGTAGTATCAGGTGTACAATTGGTAGGCTGAAGCGACATTACATATGGAAGTTTCGAAGCCCGCAAAGACGGTCAACCACTCGTAGTGTCACGGACTTAACCCAAACCCAGACTACACTTGGGAGTAGTCCTTTCGTCCAGAATATGAAACACAACCCTGGACCGAACATCTAGAATTACGACCATACAGTGCCGCCTAATGGTAGTGTGAAAACATCTGGTACAACATAACTTCGGCTGAATCCGTACTGAACTACTTACGGGACAAACGAATGTTGAACGGAACGACTATTGCTCTACATCCACTGAAGTTGACGTTCTTTTGAAGAAAAAATATGACAAAGGAACTAGCCGAATGTTCATCAGGGTTTAACCACGGTTGTGTGAGACGCTGAGCTCCATCCATGAAAATTAGTTTGAAAGTCAAAGTGGAGGCCGTTTGTAATTGTCTAAAGACCGTTTAGAAAGCACGCCAAATCGGTAAAAACCATAGGATTAGCATCTGGCGACTTCTCAAACAGCACCACCGTGTTTACTTCTTTCTTAGGCTGCATTGGTGCGAAACAGAGTTGCGCTTCAACGTTTGTCCAGCAAAAGCACTAGCATGATTCGCTCACCCTTCGCCGTTGACTGTTCTCCGACAATCTCTGATGTTCAAGGACGTACAGATCCACAGTCGTTAGCCAATGTATCGAAAGTATTGTTCGCTAGCATTTCATTCTTTCGTTTCTACATTCGCCTACCTTATATTAGAGAAATCGTCCAACGAACACGTCTCTGGATGTGAAATATATCAGAATGTGACACCGTATACTCTGACTACAACCCCAAATTCGTCTACTAGTGCATGCAGTCAACGAAATATATTTTTCCAGGGTTCATTCTTCTTATCGAATACGACTGCGCCGCTTCAGCCAGCTAACTGTGGCACACGCGTCTTTGTGCATTATTAGAGAGCGAATACCTTCAAAGTAATTTGAGCCAATCCATTCGTGCTAGTCCACAAAATTGGGTCTGAAGTTCTATTCAGTCCCACAAGTTCGAAAGGGTGTACACTAATTCACGAATGGTCACCGTTTCGGCCTCCGTATTTAGCTTCAACATTGTCCTTCTAAGATGCTAGAAAGAGTCATATCTGACTTCACGACTAATGAGAATATAGTTAGAGTTGGTATGGAAATTAAAGCCAACTAAATCTAAGTGATCGTCACAAAGGTTGATGGTGAAGTGGACAGTATTTTTCCGATCAATGCGTCTGCTGAAATGGGACTGCTAGTCACGGCCGATTCTTCATGCTCCCAATACCATTTTTTTTTTAAAAAAAAAGCCTATTTCATTTATTGAGCAGCACAGGGACGAACTGCAATCGCTCAAGAATCGGACCACGCCTATAAGGTAATATGGGCACAATAAACTGATAACTGAGGAGTCAGAAGTTCTGATTGGCTGATCAGCTGAACCATACAACAAGGTGCGTCAGCCGTTCAAACTAACTGAACTGCGAAGGTACTTTGCAAATACTCATAGAAGACTGGTAAACTAGTTGTTCAGCCAGCAAATACGCGTGAATTCTTTAAAGACTCATTGGTTAGGATCTGGTTGCGTTACAAAAAGAGTTACCGAGAGCAATTAGCCTCTTCATAGAACCGTCTAACTTCTGGCGAATAGTCGGAATATTACACGTGAAAATTTAAGAACCCTTGAGACCGACCTGATAACTATGAAGACATGATCTATGATCTTGATTGCTTTGAAAAAGATATGGAATCGGAATAGCTCAGCTACACGAGCGAATTAGTCCTTTTTAGAACTCGTCAACATTTAGTTTCACAACCAAAGGTTGCACTTGGAACGGTCACAAAATCGACGGCGGTGTCTAACGCAAACACGTCCGTGCAAAATCCTCTTTGCACTTGGAACGGTCACAAAATCGACGGTGGTGCCTAACGCAAATACGTCCGTGCAAAATCTTCAGACCCCTGTGCGCACGTGAGGATGTTTCAGGACTTTTTTGTCATGGGAATGCAAAAAAGAAGTGTGGATGAAGAGGACGACGAACAGAGTTCAAATAAGTCACACCACAGTCAGCAAAGTACTAACTTACAACCCTGTGCTGTTGGCGATACTTTGGGTATCAGGATGCGATATAACTCTTCTGCAGTGGTAATTTAAAACCAAAGGACAGCAACCGAATTTACATCACCGCAATGCGATTACTGCTGCATTGATGGACAGACTTCATCATCTTCATTAATTACAGTGTCGTTTCACCAATCGGGAATTATCATTTTGGCAACTTTTACCAGGGGCGGTCAGTTGCTTCATACGATTTCACCAGATATGCCAGGTTACCCGTAAAATCCCTATTTGCCCACAAATCTGACATGGTTGGACAGACCAGATCTGTGGTCTACAAAGCAGCAACCGTGTAAATGATTCGCACTTCTATATTATAATAAAACGAAAAACAACAATATTAAAAACTGGTTTTATTTAACAAAGTTTCCCATGTTGTTCTTTCCACTACAGACTCAGTATGTGTTTTTGCACATGTTCACCAAAACAGCCGTGGAGTAATTAGCACAGATAGACGCAGTAAGTACTAAAATGCTTTAGATTAGCTCAAATGGATACTCTACAATATATATCAAAACAAATTGAAATACGTTAACCATTTTATGAGAAAAATGATCCGAATATGTCTGGGGTTGCCCATACACCTAACGCCAAAGTAGGCTCCCGTTGTAGGATGCCAGAGTAATATGATTTTATCGCCTTCCCAGTAAGATTTCCCGGTTTTTCTTCCGTTGCAACCGAACGAAGTCATCAGAATGAAATTCGTTCTCCGTATCGTCCCACTAACCCCCTTTAAAATGTCCCTTTAAAAATGCGACTAGCTGTTTTGTTCCGTTAAACACGTCGACTGGTCATCACCACAGAGGAATACCAAACGAATATGGTTTAAGGCAAAATGCAGGCATTCAACATACAGACATGAACCTGTGGCCGATTTTGTGCGCAAATGCAAGAATTGCTGCTCAGTGGAACACTGACTACTGAGTACAACGGCTGTATGTTAACAACTTCTGTTCAATTTGGGCTCAACTAGAACTTGAAATTGACGAAAACCCAGAGAGTATGATTACCCAATGGGCCTCAAGAAAGGCGAAATCGATCATGGAGTGTGGAAGGGTTTTACGCAAGACTTGAGCGGTGTTACACGAGGCAGTTAGAGAACGCGTTTTCGGTTGTGTAACGGGTACTTCCACTGAAGAATGTGTCCAGCACCAGAAGCTGCGTTGGTTGGGACATGTGTTACGTATGCCGAACCATCGTTTGTCGAAGAGAGTACTGTTTTCCATGCCCAATTCGGAGTGGCGTAAACAGAGAGGTGGCCAACTCTTGACCTGGCAATGAGTATGAAGGAGATCACGAAACGCTTGGGTGCTGTCGGTGCTACTCGCCTTCCAGGATGGGGACCGCGTGATCCTCACTGTGCCTGGTTGGAGACACTACAAGATATGGCTGCCGACTAACGTCAGTGGCGTTCTTGTTGTCAGTTTCTATCCACATTGCCTGAATGAATGTCTGGAGGTGTAGGCACCTCGGAATGATTGTGTTAAGCTAGCACTAAGTCCCTTCCCCGTCCACCTTTACTCTTTTCTTTACAATAAGGCTTTCAAATAAGTCATGGTTGTACGGCAATGAAGAATCGGTGTTGAACACTGATGTCGTGCTGTCGATGATGATGATGAGTGGTGTTACGGCTAGACTGCGATATCTTGAGCCGGAAAATAAGGCGACTTTGTGCGGCACATCCAGCTGATGAGCGTCATCATCAGAGATTTATCTGGATTCATTTGTCTCTTGTCAAAACCAAGCCAGCGCGCAAATGGGAGTATTTGGCGTGTCACAATTTTGCGCAGAAACTGAACAAACCAGTGAAAGAATTTACGACAGTGTGAAATTGGGTCACCAATCATAATCGACTTCAACCCGTTCCACAAAGTCATGAATTTACTAAAACTCTCTCAGCATCACATGCAAATTTGAAAATATGAAAATCTAAATATATCTTTGTGCGTAGTTCAACCTAGGACTGTGGTAGCTAATGAAGAATGGTATCTAAAATGCCATCATGTACCTATTTGGTTGGTTAGCCCCGTCAGCAAGGGTCTTTTAGTCAGCGTGACTGCCGTACGTAAATCCTTTAATGGCTGCTTGGCCAACCATATCAAATTCCAATGCGAGACATTCATTCTTCAGAAAGTTCCTCAACTTAACCTATTTTCAACAAACTACTGCGAATAAAAACTTCGAGACCGCATCGAATTTGCTGTAACTGCCTGCAGCTTTGAGTGAATGACCACAGTCATCTTGACGTGGTGAAATATATCGAGCTTTCGCATCATCCTAGTCGCGTGCCAAAAAGTGACAGCACACGGGCCACTAGTATGTAGGGTATTCATCAATATATGTGCCAACTGAGATTGAGGAGATTCTCATTAAAAAGGACGATCATGAGGGTAACCTAACAATTTTACGGTGACCTTTCTCCCGGGAGTTGCATAACGATGTTTTTTTCTTTTTTTAGCTGTGTACAACCGAGGCAGGTTGGACCTGCCATCCCAACGGCTTGCTCACCTCGCCAGGACGTTGTGACTGTGCAGCACAAAACTCTCCGCCTTGTTTTATTTGTCGCAGCATTATTAATGTCACTGCAGTATGAACAGCATGGTTCAAAAACGTGGTCTATTTACGCTTACTGCAACACTTTAAACATAAATCAGTATTTCGGTCGCTTTGACTTCTTGTACTTTTGTCAAACAAACAAACATTTGAAAAATAATGGGCGGTCTAGGATGAAGGGTTCTTTTGCAGGTCACCTGGCCAATGGAGCGTCGCTGGCATAACTGTGACGACTGGTAAGTTACCCACGCCTCCAGAGAAAAAATCGGGTGGTAACATCCTTCCGGTGCCTAGCTACCATGCCGAAGCACGAGGGCTGGGATACCGCCAGGTTGCCCAAGCCTAAACTGGGGAAGTCGATAGGCAGTCATAACTACGGAATAGGGCGGTTCCATAAGTTCTATTCAAAGACGGGTTTCCTCATGGTAGATTGATCAATGAGAATCAGTTGTCCACTTTCTGCATCTGATGATGAGAAATAGTGCGCACCCGGACGCTTTGAATAACGTTCATGAGAGTGCGGCAAACAGACAATATCAGTCAGTGTGCTTCACTGCATCTCACTCTATTCCAGTAGACGCTTTGTTGCGTGAGTGAATAAATATGAAAATTCGCCCCTGGTTTGGCTGAAATTTCAATCGATCAAACTAACGATTAGATATGAACCCCCTAATTCAGTGTAAAGAACAAGAGAAAGGAGTGGAATGAGGACATTAAAAACGGCGTCTAAAAAGTTGGTAGGTAAAACACAAACTTATGAAAAGTGTGACTTGTTTGGATTGAACAAATTACCGCACTTCAATGTACTATTTAAAAGAGGGAGAAAGATCATGCCACTGAGAAGATAAAAATTTCTCTGTCCTCAACCGGCAAAGGGAATTCTGGTTTACAGTACAAGAGGTCGAATGACATCATGGTACAGCATTACGGGAGAAGTTTCCACAATCCGGTTACTGGTGGACGAGAACATTCAGGATGACAATTAAAACATTGCCAAAACGCTGCGGAAGAAGAACAGGCTGGGCTATCTACCGGATATAAAGACGGTTGACAACGGAACGGTATTGAAGCACTTTCTAGTGTTCTGAAGAAACGCTCCAATCCGTTCATGGGATTTTACAGACCAAGTCAGTTCAAAATGCAGGATTGCAGCGCGAGGAATATATTTACAAGATAATTTATGTACAACTCTCTCAACGACTGCATAATTGATTTACTTTTTGTCAAAGATCGACGGAGAAACGGCAGTGAACGAGCAGCTGAAGTTGGTTATCTGGAACAAGTATGAGAGTGAAATAGTACAAGTCAGTTGGGAATAATGAGTCGGTGATAAGTGCAAACAGTCTATCCGATTAGTGGATTGTAAAATGAGGAACGTATGCACAGTCAAGGTTTCGCTAACGTGAGTCATAGTTTGGGTCCACATTTTTGGAAAACCAACTTCGGTTCTGTAGCATACTCTTGTTTGGGAATTTCAACGGCTAAAAAATTATGAAACGAAGCCCGTAAAGGTCAGTCCAACACTTGTTGACAGATGTGCACGGAGGCCAGCCGTCCCTAATAACTGAACATCACATCATTTGGACGGATGTCACGTGCAGGACACGGACTAATCGAATGCATGCGTTGAGTGGACAGAATGCCAGCCAATCCGGATTGAACACCTTTTACTCGACGCTCCTCGCCCCCTCACGGAGATTCTAGCACGACCTTGTGAAACACCTTGTGATTATCCTATAAATACAGCCGTAATAATTTTCTTTCCATAAAGGCTGTGTAGAACCACCGCGCCTTTCGACATACCAGAGTGGGTGGAACAGGAAGCCAAGGGACCGATACTGAGTTGCACTATCGTCCACCAAGTGACAACAACTGGCGTGAACTAGCAGTCCTGTGCACATGGCAATTATTGAGAGCATTTTGTAAAGAGTGTTTCGAATAGGCCAGGTCTCGTAAACCTAACGACTAGAACCCACCTGATCACCCGCAACAACTTGGTCCAGCTACTCACACTATGCTCTGTAGTTCTTACTTGAAAAAGGCAGCAACGGATACATCTCAGTGGGTCCCCAGGGTCCCAAAATCCTTCATTCTAAAGTGCAGAATGGTGAATAGATGTAAATAAGTCGGGAGGAGGAACCCAACAACTTGGTGGATACCTTGACGGACACAGAACTTAGTCGAAAGTTTGGAGTGTTCATAAAGTTGTGATCGGAATGAACCACCAGCGCTAGCATCATGCACCCATGCTGCCAGTGACCCAATTACAACTGCCTTATTCTGCACCAGTTGGACCGAGTTGGACCAAGTGGTTGGAGCGCGAATTTACTGACCGAAAGGTCCGTGGTTCGAACCCGACCTCTTCCTTTCGACTTCCCCTGTCTAGGCTTGGGCGATCCGGCAGTATCCCAGCCCTCGTGCCTCCTTCGTGTGGCACGGCAGCTAGGTACCGAAGGGGTGCTACAGCTGAACGATCATTAGTTAGTAGAAGGGCACATCAACCTACACCATCAAGCAGTTTCATAAACCACATCCGTGGAACGACATCCATTTACTCCTTTCTAAGCATGAGAATGAACGAAGTCGACATTCTTGGATAAAAAGCCAAAATCAGAAAAAGGGGGTACCTTTTGGGTAAAGCGTCACTACTGTACAGTCTCCTCGTCCGATTCCAAGTGAGAGATGAACCGATGCTGTTGACTTCCCAAGCCTATCAACGTGGCATCATCCAAGAGTTCACCACCTCGATGTACCATCTCGTCATCATCTATGTCGTCATCCACATCATCCACTACAACGCTGTCCTCGTCGTGTATTAGATGGGCGTCACTGACTGCATGCGCGACTAACTGGGCGGCAACAGACGCCTGTAGATCCCCTTCCAGTTCGTCATCATCATGTAGCTGGTGAGCCGCTGATGGCGCTTCGTCAGCTTCATCACCGGAATCCGACAACAGCAGTTCCGCAGCTAGTTCATCCTTGAGAGAACCAAGACCGGCGGCATCGGCAGAAGAGTCTGAGGACCGCCCGGGGCCTACGGATGATTGAAGGCACTCTCGGTCAGCATCTTCCCGTTCCAGCTGAAATAGATAAAATGGTAATTATATCATTAGGCTGCTGTACGCTTTCCCTAAACCACAATGACATACACCGGATAGGACATTCCAACCTCACCCAAGTCAAGGTGAACGCGATTGGGAGCTTTCAATGAAAATTTCCAACATGAACACAACTGGAGGCAGCGTCAGCTATCGTTTGAAAAGTACACAAAAACCGCAAATTCTCTCCGTTAGAGACAGGCTCATTATTGGTAATCGGAGGGGAAGGGTCGTTCGGACGTCGAAATCAAATGAATGAATGAATGGGGAACTGGCGAAACTCGTTCGGACGTCGAAATCAAATGAATGAAAGAATGAATGGGGAACTGGCGAAATTAGAGGTCCCGTTGGGCACAAAAGATAAGCACAGACCCAAGGGCTGAGCAGTAAACCAGACATGGACAACAATGTGAACCAGACAAGATATGCTTAGGAACACTGCAGGCAAATGGGGGTTGAAGCTGGAACGCCCAGTTGGTCACTTTACCTCGGAGTAGACCTTTGAGTGAAAATACCTCCGAACGTGATCACACATTCATAAGAAACATCGTGACTTGGATTGTTCTAATACTACTGAAAGTCGCCTACGTATACCTCACCATTCGGCCTCTGCGTAAGACTTGCGAAAAGTGCAGCTTAAGAACGCCAACCGGTCACACATGAATGCAGTTAAATCAAATTTTGCAAACATTGACCATGTGAATATTGCGATGCTTCTGCTCTGAATGGCGTTGTCGCACCGATAGACAGCTAAAAACATGACTCTGCACAACCAAGGCTGATATTGAACTACTTGGCCTGCTGGTGGTCTACGGCCTCAGACTGTGGGACAGAAACTAGATAGCAGTGAGCTCGAAAACTGCCGTCGATTGCGCTGCAAGGGTAGCAGTAATCCCCGATATTCTTGAAATCGAGTCATTCTTCCCTCCAAAAAAGGCATTTTCAAGTTGAGTAAGTAGTTAAGTCTACCATCACCACCGTCACCGACTGCGTATGTTCTCTCAAGCGCCACCGAGCTTCTGGTCCAGATGGCCTTTTTCAAAGATGAGGTAGCGCTTGTCTGATCTGTCAATCTGCATTTGGGAGGAGACTGTTCCAGACAACTGGGGAGAGTCGGTTACAGTACCCATTTTCAAAAAAAGTGGCTCGTAGTGAGTGAGCTTAACCCTGGTCATAACTAATTTTCAAAAAAAGTGGCTCGTAGTGAGTGTGGTAACAACAGCTTAACCCTGGTCATAACTGGACTGCCGGCGTCACTCGTGCTCCGTTGCCTTATGGTGTCTCGCGAAGCACTGACAAGGAAGGAGCAAGCAGGATTCCGGCCAGGTAGGGGCTGCGTTGACCAAATCTTCACAATCCGTCAGGAACTGGGACGATGCCATACGTACAAACTACTAGATTTCCAAGGCTAATTCGATTCGGTTGACTAGTCAGTTCTTCTTGACACGCAGTGCCCACCAAGAAATGCCCCGGAAGTTTGTGAACATAATAAGTTCTTTGTATTCTCAGACTTCCCGAAGTGTGAGAATATACGGAGAGCTCTCCAAAAGCTTCCGTACACAAAGTGGCATGCGTCTGAAGCCCCAACTATCTCCATTCCTGTTTAATTTCGTGATCGGTGAGATAATGGGACGAACACTCGAAGGTGTTCAAAGCCCCGGTGTTCAAAGAGCCTTCAATGAAAGCCTCGTCGATATCTTTCTCGTCTTCGAAGAAGAGAAGTAGACGTTTTTGGATGAACTAACCAAAGTCATCGCATTCTTCAGTAGACACTGCGCACACAAAGTGTATGGTCATGCTCATGGACATGCAGTCACTAACCACGCTACTTACAATCCAGGGAGAGGCACTGGAAGTTGTTGAGCGTGTTACGTATTTTGGAAGTTGTATTAGTTTTGGTCGTAGTGTGACAGATGAGGTCAGTGCACGAATCTGCAAGGCCCGAGTCGCGTTTGCTGATTTGAGACACCTTTGGCACCAAAGCGGTACATCCCTGAATCTCAAGGAGCGTGTGTATAAGGCTACAATAAGGGCTATGTTGTTGTATGGCTGAGAGAATAGGCCTGTTCGAGCAGTGGAACTGAGACTTCTTCAGGTGTTCGACAGTCCTTGTTTCAGAACCGTATCTCGTGTGGGTTGGTGTCGACAAATCCGCAACGGGGCAATTAGAAAACGAGTTTTCATTTGTACAACAGGAACCCCCATCGAAAAACGTATCAAGCGCGCTAGTTAGACCATATATTGCGCAAGCTGAATCATCGTTTGCAGAATAGAGTGCTGTTCTCCGCACCCAACTTAGAGTGCGGGAAAATTGAACCACAAGATTTGTTTCCTCCAAGGTTTCTCACAAGAAGAGAACGCTGCATTTAAAAACTACGGGGGTTGACATGACCTTTTCTCCTCCAGACATTGCCTAGCTGGAGATTTCTCGTAGCGAGGAGTGTTGGCGGCAGCAGCCGTCAGTCGTAACAGTCGAGTGGCAAATTCCCTAATGGTAAGGACCATTGCCACGTGGTTTTCCATCTTTGAAGATGAACAGCCATCCCAGAAACCCTGAAGAGTCGTTTAATTGATTCACGGGCTTATCCCGAGCAGTGAGGTACGATTAAGAAAATCCGTGATGAAAATAAGTTTCCAAAAGAATTGGTTCCGCGGCTCAGACTGCAGCTGCGAAACCGCACCTTCTAATGGAAATTTCGCTGATTAGTTGAAGGTACATTTGACTGCGTGGTACGAAACTCGAAGAACAAGTCACCGGACTCTTCCATTACACACGGGATCCACCCTGTGCAGGGTCACTTCAAACTCGTCAACACAACGACTCGTCAAGTGCTGAAAAAGTAACTCGGTGATTTTGAAAGTCAGTTATCCTTCATGATAAACTTCTGAAGCATGAGTGCAGCATACAACTCACGGTGAATGTGGCTCGCCTGGACAAAGATTCACCTGTCTGCTTCTTGGGTCCATCTGCAGCACGTTCATCGTCGCTGGCACCACCACCTCCACTGCTATCAGATGAATCCACACTGCTACTACTGATGTCCCCAAAGACATCCCGCTGGTCAACCGGGAAAGTGCGGGATCCTAGTGTAAAAGAGAAGAAAACAGGGGGAAAGGCTATCAGTACCACAGCAAATTCCCAAAGAGAAGGCTATGCAAAGCACAGAGTGAGTTACAACCGCCGCACGAAAACTCGAAGCCCCCGGGTGATGGTAACAGCCCATACGTGCGATCTTTCTGGCGACAAGATCCATCGTTGAGAAGTTGTACATTTCATCTGCACAATAGAGGAGCTTCTGTAGGGGACCGATGATGTTTCTCTGCTTCACGTTCTCCAACGACTTAGCTTTTTTAGTGAGTCTTGTCTTATCGTTTTGCTGTTGAAACTTTGGAAATTTTCTCGGACTGCTAATGAGTGGATTCATTTCCGCAACAAAATTAATCAAAATAATTCTACACTTTTGTTTCATCCACCACTGTGTTACCGTTTCATGGTTGCATAAGTGCCTGCAAGGTATTTAGTGGTTGACATATCGGGTTGATGAGCATACTTCCAGGATTGAGAGCAAAAATCAACAAGAGTTGATTAATTAGAGATAGGTTTAGAAGACGGAGCTGGAGCGACTGAAACATGAGGCGGTCTGGTGCAGCACATTCAGTTGCCTGAGAACATCATAAACGAGAGATTCACCTGGGTTCCAGGTGAGTCTCTCGAAAGAACCAAACTGGTTTGCAAATGAGTGCATATTCGCTAATTTCGTGCAATTTGGTTTTAAGTAGAACATAAGGTTGACGGAAACCCGGGGACTGCGCCTACCTGATGAGCCCCAAGAAGGGCGAAACCGATCGTGGGCTGTCGATGGATTTTCAGCAACCTTATGAGTAGTACATTACAAAAGGTAGGAGCTTCCTTTTAGTGGCGCATTATCGTACGAAAGTCAACAGGATCAAGACTATGTTCCCTCTGAGATTCAGCTGGGTTCCAGGTGAGTCTCCCACAAAACCAAAGTTGTTTACAAATGAGTGCATTTCGCTAAAGATAATCTATTTTTTCCCATCACACTTTTTTTCCGGAACATGGAATTCTACTCTAACACCGAAGTAAGGGATACATTTGCGGTGACCTTGGAGGCTGCTTCCAAGCTGGAAGCTTTCTTTTAAATGTGATATCAGAGACCACAAACGAATTCAGTTGTTTGCTACCAGAATATTGACATTTAAGTAGGCAAAAAAGTTCCCGGAAGGAAAATGCACCAGTTGCAAACAATATGTCTGAAAAATTAGTGTAAAATGCAGCAGCGAGAAAAAGGTGGGGAAAGTGCGGACAGTTTCATCCCAAGTTTCCTCTGTACTGCGTGGTTTAGCTTGTTAAGAGAATAATACAATAGTTGAAAATGAATATGTAGTATTGGAAGGGAGATCAAACATTTCTCGTAATGGTCATGAAAACGGAACAACGGTTCAGCCATGTACTATTGCAGTTGCACATCTTTTTGTCCAATCAAGACTCCAATACTGAGAACTTTCAACATATCTTCTGTTTGGTGCGTCGAACATGATTTCAAATACAGCTGCTGAAGCAATGCGACCCTCTCTGTTAGTCCGAAAGAAGCAGCGGATGAGGACCACAACATAGGCTGGTGACAAAGACTGGTCATGAAAGAATGTGGTTAGCTCCGGAAAGGAACCAAGAAAACTCCGCTACTGTCGTGGTAATGTCTCGTTTTGGAGTGGAAACGGCTCATTCAGTTGATCTAGTCGTATTCGCGCCTACGCAAACACATGTTGGCTTGACCCCGGTCAAAGGTGTCACGCTTTTCTGTCTAGGTAGGCAGCCATGCATGTATGTCTGCCTCAACTGCTTGCTTCAAACCTTGGTATGAGGCCACATGAGTGAAATGATTGTAACTGTTATCGCTGAAGGCGTTCAGCTCGTGATTATTCCCAATTTGGTCAACTGAGAATCTAAGAACCGAACTGAATAACTCAAATACATTATCGACTTCCTCCCAATTAAGACCAGCGCATTCACTCATAGATTGCTCTCCTTGCTGGTATACGTTTCCGCAGAGTGATTGGCAGGAACTGTGTAATCTAAATGATATGATAAAAAACACCTTGAAGACGATCGAGTGCGAGGCCACGCAAAGATGACTCTCAGGCGACTGCAAATCTCAGATAATAGCGTGCTCCTAACTGAACGGTACTCAGCATTTTATTGGAAACACACTAAATAATCCAGAACATTGTGAACACCATCGTACTTGCAGAACTGACGTATGGAATCGTCAGCTCACACAAATACTCTTTCTCTCGATCTGACAGCGTGAATAGAAAAAAACGAACCTCATCGAGTGCTTTGTGTGAATCAAAAATTTAAGTCTGGTAAAGTTCTTTAGCCATCTATGTACCGATTGACCTGGCAGTGTCCTTTGGTGATTTTAGATTCCGAACAAAGAAATTTGATTGTTAACTGTGGAACGCGATTGATCTTGTGAATAAAAGCTGACTTAGGTGATAGCAAGCCCTCTACACAGACGACATCAGGCTACCTTGTGTGACCTCGATAACCCCGTCATCCTTGAAGGATAGATTAAGGAAAATGACTAGTTCTCAGATGATACTGATACAATCGTACTTGAATGTAAAAGTCAAGATAGCTTAGTGGCTAAGGCGCAAACTTACGGACTGGAAGGTCTGTGGTTCGAACCAAATCTCTCGACTTGTCTTGTCTGGAGTGCAGCAGCATGGTGATATCTCAGACCTGGTGCCTTTCTCGGGTGGCATAGCAGCTGGGCATAGAAAGGGTGCTACAGCCGAACCATTATTATTACTAATATCAGCATCAGTCATTATTGTTATTGTTTTGGAAGCAAGTAGTATCGGAGAAAGAGAGCTACTCGCACGTGTTCAATTTGTGACCAACTGCAACAAACATACCTTCCTCGTCTTCCTCCAGTTCATCGTCTGCCGCAGCGTTCCTGGCTCCTGTGCGTGACGCCATCGTAGAACCACTTAAAATGTTGGAACCAAGCCTGTCTCGTTGTGTGGACCCCTGGAAACCATTTGCATCATTTACACCGGAACGGGTGGCGGAGTTGGGTGGATCTGACCAGATCACTTCCCACCTGCATAAAAAATGATACAGTAAACTTTTCCCGCGAAAAAAGCTGAACAGATCAGTAGTGCTTCACGTCTAAACAAATATCATATTTGGGAAGCAACACGAGGTTCACCTAGGTGTTAGCTAGGTTGAAGGGCACTCTAGGGAGGATAAAAACTTCGGGTACAGTGACCTCACTAAAGACGGAGAGGAATTAAGCGTTGAAACATGTTTCATGAGAACACTCAACCGTGACTGCTTCTTCTGGGTGGCCTCTACAGATTGGCCACATCAAGAGCGAACAAAAACACATTCTTGCTTCTTAAATGAACAGTCTTGGAAGCGTTCATTCACGCGCCATGGACAAAACTTATAAACTCTAAAGATCTACGGTAATCAAATGATCTGATCCACAAACTAAGGTAAAGCTCGTTGAAAGTGATTCAGTACTTGATATGATTTTTTGCACATCGGTATGCCATAAACAGAAATGAACGCTGTTCTTGTCATTTTGAAGAATGACATCAATTCAAATTGCAAAAAATAACGGAATCATGCACACCGGATCCTCCCAGAGTGCACAATCGAAAAGCGAACCGGTCTGGGGAAATGAAAAGGGTATGCTTGTTACGAACCGGTCTGGGGAAATGAAAAGGGTATTTGATTTACTCTCTCGCACTACGGGGGAACCGCACTGGTGTACCATGAGAAACAAACACCAAGAGAATAAACTATTTTATGCAGTTCAACGAGGCTCATTGTGGAGACAGAGACACCATTCAGTACATTTGTGTCTAAACGAAGGGTTAAGCAAAGTATTTAACTTCCTCGTTAGATCGTTTAGTTCTCCGAAATCTGTATCTGGCTGTCCCCTTGTCCATTTTATGTGACAATTGGCAAAACATAAAATTATTGGGTGCAAAAACGACTTACTTGACTGTAACTGCTTGCAAATCAGCCCTCAGAAGCTGTTTCACTTCCTTCTCGATCTTGGGCATATCCACAAAGCGCTTCCGACGTGATTTACGGAATCGACGCCGCAAAACATTCTTCAACGGTGGTGTGATACCGTGCAGAAATTGGAATTCGCGATTCTCACGGCTGTGTTCCACACAATTAGAATATGAGAAAAAACAAGCGTGGAGGCAAATTAGGTTGTCGCTCCAAACCACAACTATTCAGTAAAGAGAATTAATCAGCCCAAGTGGCTCGAGACGATTCCCAGGTTAGTACGGCAGCCATTGGCCAAGAGGGTCACGCTCATCTCTGGCTTCTCAAATGTGCTTGCATACCGGGAGAAAAGTAATAAAAACAATCGTTCAGGTGTGGTATGGCTACCATTCAATCTGGGGCACGAGTTCTCAGATAGCGTCAGGCTGGGGGCAATCAAGAGACCAATGTTCCGTGTGAGCCAAGGACCCTTTGGTCAATAGTTTCACGCCTTCATAAGGGATCGGTTTCGAGCCCTTACAACCATAAATAGCCGGCCGAAGAGTTTTCAGCAATCTTATGAGTAGTGTGTCACGTTTAAACAACAGCCTGTCATTAGTTTAGCCTTCGGATTCACAGAAGCTATGCACCAGGGGATACCATAGCGGAGTAGGTCGCGGCACAGCGGTTTCGCTGAATAACGGAGGATTTCGTCCCAGTCACATAGCTTCTTTCTCACGAGGATCCCAGCTACATAAAACCCATGGCTTTCGAATCGAAGTGATTTGTTGAGTAAAGAAGCTAGAAAGCGAAGGAAAGGTAAATTATAGCCTGGAGCATTCAGTCGAGTCAAAAAGTCACTCAGTAAATTTTACTGCGGCAAATCAGGGTCGACGTGGCCAACCACTGACCGAGTAATTATGCCTACCCACTATCAATTTATACAACAAGGCTTATGAACCTTCAGGGAGTTGGATTGATCGATACAGCACTTTCATGAAAAGAATTTCTGTGGAAAGTAGCAGGGCTCACGAAAATAGTCCAACATCAGACTTTATTATCTAATCGAATCGTCCAACTGTAGCACCCTTTCGGTGCCTAGCTGCTATGCCACACGAAGGAGGCACAAGGGCTGGGTTACTGTCAGGTCGCCCAAGCCTAGACAGGGGAAGTCGAGAGGCAGAGGTCGGGTTCGAACCACGGGCATTCTGGTCAGTAAATTCGCGCTCTAACCACTTGGTCCATCTCGCCCAATATCAGCTTATTCTAATACAAATGCATGGACTGCTATAAGAAACGTCTCTCTAGAGGCAAGTTGAGAGAATACTGTTCACAAGGCCATCTCAAATACGTTGTACCGACGGGCGGGAACATGAATAATGAAGAAAATTTGATAAATTCGGGATTATGAAACCAAGCAAAATGGTGTGATGTGGCCAATGGAACATACAGAAGCACCCTGTACGTAGTATCACCTACCTGGCATCAGAGACATTCTTCCAGGACCTTGTTCGATCATCAAGATAGGCCGCCGTTCCTCGAAGGGGGCCATTGTCTTCCCCCTGAGTACATATCATCATTTGGCAGATGTCAGCGGTTTTGTAGAAACTGCGCTTGTCCGTAGTTTTCAAAGACTCAATAATGCATGGTAAATCCATCAGGCGACCCTCATACACTTGATTATTGTATCGGACGATCCCATGCCTCATATCAGGTTTTAGCTCCAGAGTGAAAGTATCCTAGTGATAAGAGAAATCGGAAGCGGATGGAATTACGCAGAGTCAGACGACTCAGATAAACGAGTGGGGAAATCAGGAGTTACGGTGTGATCAAAGCGAACGACTGTGCACCAATCATACAGACCACCCCGGCGCTTGACCATATTTCCTCAGAATACCCCCACGAAAAGCTGTACCATTTGTTCAGTTTTAAGTTAAGAACCGTATATCAGAGCACAGCGATTTCAACTGCTACAGTTTATTCATAGCCACACCACTCTCGTTTGAACGGCCCTGTTCCTGTTCTGGCGTAATTATTCCGGTGAGTCCACACCAAAGGGAAGCACTGGACTCGAGTTTCGCTCTTATTAGAGCTCATCATCAGTGCATATCCAATGGCCGTGCCGGGATTTGAACCCCGGACATCTGATATGCGAGGCGAGCGTGCTACGGTCTAGATAAGGAGACTAGGAAGAAGCAGACCACGCGTTGCAAATGACAGATCCATCCGTCCATTGACGTTTGAGTGTTACTTGCTCGGTATGGCAATGTGAGAGTTACGAAGCGAAGGCGATGGCTATGACGCATGATTACTACTATCTGTGCGACAAAATCATTTCTACCAGGGATATTAAATTCTGGCTTGTCCCATCCTTGGGTCCTAATCTGGGGAGGCTGAAAGACAGGTGGAAGTGTTGTGAACGGATTCAAATACTATATGGGCTGATTCCGGATGTCACCGAGGCCTTAAACTTAGCGCTTTGGATCGCCCGTGAACCGGCTGCGCCGATGAACTTACCAAGGTTGTCAAAGATTTCCTCGCTTGGATGAAAGCACGGACAACGACCTGCTCACCTATTTCAAACGAGTACGAAATGGAAAATGTGAATCAGCAGGATCGTGTTCTGACCACAGTCTTATTCAGCCTTTATGTAGCAAATATCTGCGCACAGGTATTCCGCCATTGCGAAAGCCGTACACCAATACAATGCTGTATACTTATTTAGGCAATTCGAAGCGACTGCTGGACAACACAGCAGCGCGAGTCCATTCTCCATATGCCGCTACCTGAGGACCAGTGGGCTGCGTTTTCGCTGATTACGACCTCTGGTTTAGCAGCAGCTCCCTTTGGCTCAGATATACACCACATGATCAGTAAACGTTTGTGAGAAAGCGTGTCATACGGATATCTGCTATTTCTGCTGCACACTACCTACAGACCTGATACTTGTACCACATGCAGTCTGCTCGAGAAACGTATCCAGCGTAAGCACCACTTGCGCACAGATCCCAAAATTGTTCTCTTTACTATTGTACGGCAGTAAAACCTGGACATTAATGATAATCGTTCAGCTGAAACATCCTTTCGGCGCTTACCTGAAATGCCACCTGAAGGAAGCAGGAGAGCGAGATAGCTCAAGTGGTTAGAGCACGAATTTACTGACCGGAAGGTCCGTGGTTCGAACCCGAACTCTGTCTCTCGATTTCCCGTCTGGTCTTGGGCAACCTGGCAGTATCTCAGCCCTCGTGCATCCTTCGTGTGGCATGGTAGCTGAGCACCGGAAGGGTGTTACGGCTGAAAGGTTTTTTACTGCCGGGTTCTCCAAGCCGAGACAGGGGAAGTCCAGAGGTAGAAGTCGCGTTCGATCCACGGACCTTCCGGTCAGCAAATCCGCACTTTAACCACCGAGCTATCTCACCTGGACATTATAAAGGCAAGTGCGGATTCCTTTCCTATTCCTTTTGCCTTGCTTGTGCAGAACCCTATGGATCAAATGGACGTAATATCGGACATTGGAGTCTTTAAGGAAGCGAACAACGTCGAGACCGAACGACCTCAGTGGTTAAGGAACGAAGGCCAGTTAAGGAACCAAAAGGCCTGTGGTTCGAATCCAACCACTGTATCTCGAATGCTCCGGTTTAGCCCTGGCAACTTCACAGCCTTCGTGCCTTCTTCAGCCTACATGATATTATGCACTGNTGTTAAAGCCGAAAGACTACCATTTGTCAAATACTCTCATTCGCACACCAATTTTGTTCTAAATCCCAACCGGACTTATCGTTTACAATGTTTTTTAACTGGATATGCTGCATAAAGATCGCCTCACGTTCCACCTGGCACGATAGTCGGGATATCGCAGTGGGAAACTACACATAAAGCCAAATTTCGCAGCAACCTCTTGGGTAATTTCCTTCAAGATGATGATCATTAATACGTCACTGAGGTCGACTAGAGCCTATTGTGAATAAGCTTCACTGATTGGGCCGTTTGGGGAGAATGACCTAAATTCGTATACCAGACGGCCAACTTATGGTCACCCAACCAACAAAGTTCGAAATCGGGGATCCAGAAAACTTCACCACTGGGACGGCCTCCCGTCCCAAGAAAAAAAATGAAAGCCCTTTCGAAGGGGACTAAGTTTACTAGTGCAGCATTGGCCATACAGATTTGGCAACACGCATGTGAAAACTTCGGTAGAACAGGCCTGGAAGATCAGTAACGAACTCACCGATCCACCTGCCGAACGTGAAAAACTACAATAGCTTCACTCTCCAATCAGTATCGGTCCGATTTTGTCCTCGAACCCATGGCTTTGACTGCTGTCATACATACCGTTCGGCACCAATGGGCGTATTGGGCTATAGCCTCCTACACGTGGTTTTTATTCCCTCATTCTGTTCATTCTCGGTAGAGGATTTTGTAATATCTGGAACCAGTTAACCTGGTGCACGCCTCATGAGCTGTAAAACTGACCGACTGATTGACGGCGTCGGGGGCCTTAGGGCCAATGAATACTGGCAGGCTAACATCCATAGTTTGACGGTGCGTTAACGGGCGACCCCGAGAACACTTACATGATACTGCGCTACAAGGAGTGCTATTTTCAAGCCCGAGCATAAAGGAATGACGCCAGATGACGCTGACAACTAGGAGATGAACGAATAACCGGTGAAAGTGTAGTGGAGCACGTGCCTTTTGCGCTCAAGCAAATCCACGCTGAACCTCCGTTACCTGTGGAGAAGTGGTGTCGACGCTCTATTAATGCTCTGTTTCTTGGAATCCAGCGGAACTCCCCTCTGAACTATTCAGCCGCCGTTCAAAACGATGCTTATGGATAAATTCAAGTCCCACCGTTCTCTGATACCACTTTCTAACATGATGGGTGGATTCGCCATGTTGGAAGCGGAATTTTCGGTTGCGTTTAGATGGACTATGTCAGATACGGGATATTACACTGGAAAAGGCAAGCTAATACAAAAGCCGTCGTTCGAGCTTGGCAGACTTACTTTGAAAGAAACACCTGCCTCAATATCGGCAGCTAGGTTCTCCGCAGCAGCTAGATCCGTCATCCTCAAAATAAACTGTTGTTCGAGATCATAACTAGAATCCGACGGCAATTTTGAAGACATAGTATGAAAGCTGAAGCGGAAGCAAGAGGCGTCCAGAGAACCCATAAAAATGACGAAGAAATGATACGGAAAGAAACCTGAAGCTCATCAGTGAATCAAGCGGACCTCAGTTTGAGTTTCAGTTGAACAGAGAGCAGGTGAACCTGCACTCCGAATTCCTTTTATTATCGGACAACATGAGGATAGCCCGACAGGTGAGCGTAACGTCGCTGCTCTTCATAAGATACCGGTCAAATTATTAACGGAATCCAGTGGACGCAGGAGTCTCTACCTGGGCCTGAAAGACTCCATGTATGAGTGAACGACGGGAACGAAAGTGATGTGGATGTTCATCAGATAGGTCGACGACAGTTTGGCATACATCTGTGGCGAGTGGGTGGTTCTATAAGTGACACTATGTGCTTTAAGTCCACATAATACTCAGGCCTAAAACCCTTGAAAACGAAAACTAAGTGAATTCAGACTCGGTGAAAGTCAAGGAAGAAATATTTACAGCTACTTCTTTGATAGTTAATAAACAATAATAATGATCGTTCCGCTGTACCGATATTTCGGTGCCTAGCTACCATGCCAACCTAATGAAGCACGGGGGTGGGATAATGCCAGGTTTCTCAAGCCTAGGAAGAAGTTGAGAGGCAGAGGTCGGGTTCGAAACACGGACCTCCGGTAAGCAAATTCGCGCTCTAACCAGTGACTTGGAGGTTAGCGAACTGAAGTAATCTTATTATCCTCATTAGGAGTCGTTATACGTCTAGCTAAATATGGTCTTCTCCAGAAGGGCACGGAAATACACCAGGACCGGCGTACTTTGGGACAAATAAGACGGCGATCGGGAATGACCAGTCCTGAGGACTTGTAGCGGTCATTTCCTTGTTCCTTCAACTAAGTTCGCCTAATTTGTCTAGTACATTTGTGCTCACTAGATCACGTGACTCCTTTGTCCCACCAACACTCAAATCCCGTGACAAAACCCTAACCCGCTTGGAAAATAGACGAAAAGTCAGTTCCCATCTTGTACGCGTCTGAACGTCAAACTTCCCTATATATAGGAAGACAGGACACAGTCATCACACACAAACTCGCGCACGCGCTGGGGTCAGGGAGTCAACCAAACTCCACAAGTCCACAATTACAGAACACGTGTAGCAGCTTTACTGAGGAGAAAGCACGTTCCCGCCGTCCGGACTTCCACCCGGGAACTCTCACGAGTTATCCACAAACGACAAGACACCTTTTGACTTATTCCATTGTTCGCACTGCATTTATTTTATCATGATGCAACTAGTAACTGTAGACTATTATCTACCATAGCAAAAACTGTTATTAGTACATACACCTCAGTTATTTATGGCTAGCATAACCTGTGCCCTAATAAGCTTGAGAGTTTCGGTAGCATTCTGGGCCCCACTACCCGTTTTCCTCGTAATTCATCCTCAAATCGAAGAGCACCAGTGAACCCAAGCACCTGGCAACTACATCATTGTTTCGGGGTCCCTGGAAAAATTAAGGGCCTGAGCGTTGCAGACGGCGATGCACTGACGAATGATCCTGCCTCTTCGGTAGAAGCAGTACTAAATAAGCAACAATCGGTTAGCTGTAACACACTTTTAAGTTGTTATCTGGCCAAACTTTCAGGTCAACAAAGGAGATTGTATGGTTAGATCCCAATCGGCCGTAATTAGTTGATAAATGCTTGGGCAACCTGGCAGTATCCCAGCACTCGTGCAACCTTCGGGTGGCATGGCAGCTAGGCACCGAAAGGGTGCTACAGCTGAACGATTATTTTATTAGTAGATACAGAGGAAGCATATGGGCCCCAGTGCCGACCCTCGGGGAACTCAAGTTGTGGCTTCTTTTGCGGCGGATAGAACTCCGCTCATTGTCTGCCAATGCGACGCTGAATCTAATGACGGAGATAGCCACTGAGAGGACGGTGAAGGTGCGACCGAAGGTCTTGGAAAAGTCCAAGAAGACAGCATTCACCAGAGTTCTGCCAGGGATTGTTTCAGCTGTGATGAATAAAACCCCACGCACAAACCCATAATTTAGCAATGCGATCAATGCGATCGTAAGCACGACCTCTGGTGTCTTCTAGAGAAGTTAAATCAAGCACTCAAATCAGTATTTGTTAGAGTGGGTGCGGTTCGCATTTTCTGGAATCTCCCGCTAGAAACCAGTTGATTTCATACCAGGTGGCACCTTAATGGTAGCTAGCGCCTTCAAAACTATAGCGTGCAAGCCGTCTCGTCCCGGGGCGTGGATGTCTACAGTCTGATATATGATGAAGAGCTGATGCTTGCGTTCAGGCTACGGCGCACAAAGGAGTTTACTGGTATGCCATCACGAACAGACTGGACCCTACTGTGGTGTGATGGTTTGTACGCCCCCAAGACCAGTGGAGAATCAGTGTCAACACTGATGTTGCTGTCTTTGATTGATTCATTGATGATCCGTTGAGCTATACTGGGTAGTGTCCCTGTAACCAGAGACCCTCAAGCTAGTATGGATAATGGTTGGAGGACCTGGATGACCCTGTTAGAATATGTGCGGCTACTTGTTACATAAAAACAATAATGCATTTGCATTTCCTGCCAAACACTGCTGCCTTGTGGTCAGGCTTTCTGGCCATAGGCATGAATCGAGAGCCAATATCGTTCTCCTGTCTAAATAGGGGCGTTCTGGCAGTATCCCATACCACGTACAACCATAACACAACTAATAATACTCTCATGCCACATCGGCCATCGTATGGTCACCAGCTATGTCGCCTTACATGTTGCATAAAGCAAGGCGGGTATGCGAAAACACGCTACTGCTGACGCCTCTCTTCTTACACCTCTACGTTCTCCCTATTCTTTTTTACCCCATCCGCGCCATCTGCGCATCAATTTGACGATAGCTTATTTCTCTTTTTCTGTAGTAGTATCATCATCACCGACAACACGACATCAATGTTTAACACGGACGCTTCACTGCCGTACAACCGTGATTTATTTGAAGGTCCTATTGTAAAGAAAAGAGTAAAGGTGGACGGGGGAGGGACTTAGTGCTAGCTTAACACAATCATTCCGAGGTGCCTACAACTCCAGACATTCACTCAGGCAATGTGGATAGAAACTGACAACAAGAACGCCACTGACATCGGTTGGCAGCCATCTCTTGTAGTGTCTCCAACCAGGCACAGTGAGGATCACGCGGTCCCCATCCTGGAAGGCGAGTAGCACCGACAGCACCCAAGCGTTTCGTGATCTCCTTCATGCTCCATTGCCAGGTCAAGGGTTGGCCACCTCTCTGTTTACGCCACTCCGAATTGGGCGTGGAAAACAGTACTCTCTTCGGCAAACGATGGTTCGGGTAACACATGTCCCAACCAACGCAGCTTCTGGTGCTGGACACATTCTTCAGTGGAAGTACCCGTTACACAACCGAAAACGCGCTTTCTAACTGCCTCGTTACGTTGACGTAGATCGGAAACTGAAGTGACCCCAAAGCGGAGCCTTGAGGAACCCCAATGGAGACCGGGGCCCGAGAATAGTAGGTCAAGCCTATTTTCACTCGGAATGATCCGTCCGATAGGAGCGCCCGGCTGATACTATTACCCGAACCTCGTAAAAGATCCCTCGTTGGTCCGTCTCATACAGGTTTGACGTGCATGATAACTACCTCATTTGCGACCGTGTGGTTATAGATGGTCGCTATCACTATTACCACAACTTCTAGGTTCTTCACTTTTGTGACCTATGAGGAGTTCCCGAAAGGCCTGCGTGGGAATTCAATAATAAATAGAACCTTAATTTGGTTCATATGCACCGCAATAGCGTTTCAGAGTGTTTGTTTCAGTCGCTCTCCGTCTTTGCTTAAGGTGTAATGCTTTTTTAAAATATAATCCCCGGCGACTTACGCGGTCTCTACCTACATGTGATGGGAGTGTTGTTGACACAAATCAGTGATACCTAAAGCGCCATTCAGAGACTGCGTATAACTATAGAGTCGAAGATGAGGTATTTTTCGTGCAGGTCCAATTTGTATGTGACGAACTAACGATAAACTCTTTCCGAGGTTGTTGTAATAGCATCAGCCCATAAACTAACATAAGGTGACAATTTCATCCAGCGAGCTCCTTATATTAGGTCAAAAAAGAATGAAAAATCGAAAGGTTGTGGTAATAGTGATGTTCGGAGCCGCCTTAATCCTGTGTAAAATTTTCTCTTGGTACTCGTGGGACTCGAGTTTTTGGAGCAGTGGGACGTGTGAGACTCGACCTAATGCTTCTAAGAAGTCGGAAAATATGACATTTGATAAGGAACCCCGCCCTCGCCTGGGGTGAAGCTGCCCATAAGTACGAACATGTTCATCAGCAAAGATTCTCGATCCAGATTGGCTGGCATTTTGACCAATCAGGACGTGCCTTCGCCCGGTAAGTGTCCTGCACGTGACACACCGGTCCAAATGATGTGATGTTCGATTATTAGGGACGGCTGGTCCCCGAAGATGCTGTCGCTTCTCGGTCCGTCCCTGGGGCTGCGAGCACGCTGCTCTGGGATCTGGTACCCTCCACACGGATTCACGGATTGATACACAAGATCGAGGCTTTTTTCCAAGTTTCCCGGGTTGGTTTTGTTCTTGTCGGTCAGTGGCTGTCGTTCACCTGAAAGGCACAAGTGAAAAAAGGGTGTAGCACTGCTCTTTATGTTCTCAGCGCGGGAAAATATGCTTGCCAGCGCGAGGATTCGCATGAATAAATGTCTAATGGTGCTTTAAAGTGGGTTCTAGAAGGAGCGCGGACAACCGTCGGAGGAAGGTCATTCCACGCAGCTACTACCCGAAATGAGAAAAAATTTTGTCTAATGAATGTATGTGCTCTGAGCCTGAAAATTTTCTCACTGTGTCCCAGCCGTGTGTCTTCTGGGCCAACGGTGAAAAACCTGTTTGCCAAGCTTTGTTCAAACAGGGCATAAGTAAGAATTAGGTCCCTTCGGAGGCGACGGTACTCTCACTTGGGAGGCATGTCACGACTGTCCGGTGCTCCATGAAATGTAGTCCCCTAAACTAATCGCAGTGTGTTTTCTGAAGTTGATTCCCTTGAACTGGCCGTGCTTATG